ATGGAGGAAAGCGTTGGAGACATCTAGTTGGTGGAGTGGCCATGAGTGATGTAAGGCGATTGCGATGAGAATACGAACAGTAGGCATTTTAGCGACGGGACTGAACTTTCTGCGTAGTCGAGGCCGTGTTCTTGATTGAAGCTTTGTGCGACGAGTCTGGCCTTGTATCTTGCGATGGATCTGTCTATAAGGTACTTGGTGCGGAATGTCCATTTGCACCCAAGAACATTTTGGGTGGGATCAGGAGGAACAAGGTCCCAGGTTCCTTGGGAGTGAAGAGCTTGGGATTCTTGAGACATGGCAATGCGCCAGTGTTGGAAGCACACTGCTTCTTTTTAAGTGGTGGGATCGGGATCAGAAATGGAGTGCACAAAACTGAAAATTTTCTTAGGTTTGGAGTGATCGGTTTTAGACCTTGTTTGCATTGTGTGGGTAGGGTGAGAGGTAGGTGACGGGTTGGGCATGGATGAGACAATATGGGATTGATTGTGTTATATGGAATAGAGTTGCTGTAGGATGTGGTGGGAAGGTTGCTGGGTAGTGGCTGAGGTGCATCGGATTGATGTACCGAATGGTGAGTGTTGTTAGAGTGAGTGGGAACGAGAAGTAAAGGTGGGATGAAATATTGACCTGATATAGTAGAGTTAGCTTGTGCGGGAGGATTATAAGGAAAGATAGCTTCTTTAAAAACAACGTACCGTGAGATATAAACGTGTCTGGTTTTAGGATTAAGGCAGCGGTACCCTTTTTGCGAGGAGGCGTAGCCGATGAAGACGCACGATATAGAGAGAGGGGAGAGTTTGGATTTATTGTATGGGCGAAGCCACGAGTAGCATAAGCAGCCGAAAATTTTGAGATGATTGTATGTGGGAGATTTTTGGTAGAGAAATTTTTATGGGCTTTTGTTTTTGAGGGATCGGGAAAGCAAGCGATTTATGAGATAAACAGAGGTGTGTAGAGCTTCAACCCAGAAAGATTTGGGAAGGTGGGATTCAATTAGGAGGTTGTGCATGGTTTCTAAAATATGCCGGTGTTTCCTTTCAGTGACGTCGTTTTGAGATGGTGTGTGAGGGCAGGTAAACTGGTGAAGAATCCCCAAATGTTTGAAAAGAGATTTGAATATGTTGTTTATGAATTCTACTCCGCCGTCAAAGCGGAAGGTTTTGATGTGTTTGTTAAATTGGTTATTAATCATTTTATTAAATTCTAAAAATTTAACAAACACATCAGATTTGTTAGTGAGAGGAAAAATCCAGCAAAATTTGGAGTAGTCGTCGATAAACGAGACATAGCATTTGTAGCCTTGAGCGGATGTGGCAGGGGAAGGGCCCCAAACGTCGGAGTGGACTAATTCAAAAATTTGAGAGGTAGAGGTATTAGAAATCTTGAATGGTAAACGGTGGCTCTTGGCCAAGTTACAAGCATCACAGTGAGTGTTGTTTGTGTTGTTACATAAAGCAGAAATGTATTTTCTAATTTCTTGGAGAGTTTGCCGTGCCGGATGGCCGAGGCGTCTATGCCAAAGTTTCGGCACTTCTTGAGCTGAAAAGAGAGCAAGATTATAAAAGTAGTAGTAAACGAGCGGATGGGATATAGCCCGTTAAGGCAGAGACCCTTGAGGAGTAGGCAACGCGTCGTCGAGTCCTGAATTTGAAAATCATGAGCAGAAAACTTGACAGTGCAATGGTTATCAGTGGTAAACCGGTAAATATAAATGAGATTGAAAGAAAGATTATGTACGTGAAGGAGATTTTGAAGGTAAAGTTTACTTGTTGGAGTTGGAAGTATACATTTGCCTGAGTGCTGGATGAGGAGTTGGTAGCCATTCCCGAGCGTAATTTGTTGATATCCGGTGTAGGATCTGCTGGACTGAAGATTTGAAGAGTCGGACGTTAGGTGGCTTGATGCACCACTGTCAAGAAACCAGTCTGTGTTATTGTTGGACTCGGAGAGAGTGAACAATGCGGTTTTGACAGGTTCTTCCGTGTAGGACGGATCGTGACGAAGCCAACATTTGACTTCTGAGTGTCCGACTTTGGAGCAAATCTGACATATGAGGCTGCTGGAGGGGCTCTTGTCTGCACGATTGCGGCCGCAATTTGAGTATCGTCCGCAGCCAGAGCTGCTTCGCCCACGGCCAAGTCCACAATAAGCGGCAAGGGCTGTAGCGGGATCAGTAAGATGGAGGTTCTGAAGTTCAGTAGTTGCAGAGCTGTGTGTACAAGTCATCGAGACTAAGGGGTTGCAGATTTGTGTGGATGGCAGTCTTGAATGCTTGATATTGGGCTGGAAGGCCATTAAGGGTATAAAAGATCACCTCCTCTAAATCTAAGGGAGAACTGGTAACAGCTATGGCGTCTACGATGGATTTAATGGCAAGAAGATATTGGGACATTGACTGATTTTTCATGGATAAGTGATGAAGTTCGTTGCGTAGTTGAATGGTGCGGGAGTGAGTATTGGATTGGAGGCGCCGAGCAATGGTTTCCCAGATTTTTGTTCAATGGTCGAGTGATAAAACATAGGGGAGGATGCTTGGGGATATGACGGAGTAAAGGACGGCGGCGATGTTTTGATCAAGAAGATTCCAGGTTTGATAGGAGAGTTCGGTTTCAGATGATGGGGTTAGCGGGGTGGGGAAAATGCAACTGTCATCAAGAAATCCTTCAAACATGTTGGCCTTGAAGAGCTTGAAAACTTGGGAGCGCCAGATAGGGTAATTTTCAACGGTGAGGGTGAGGGAGATGATACCTTTGATATGGCTCATCAAGAATTTGAGCTGTTGAGGGATTAATTGTATTTCAATAGATGTGTCGGAGCTCCGTCGGGCTTCGGACGTGGCTGTGGTAGAGGAGGATGAGGTTGCTATGGAGATATGAGAAAACAAGAAGGGAAGAAGAAAGGATCACGGGGTATCTCACTCAAATACCATGAGAGCTCTATCGAAATGCAGAGCAAAAAGGGAAATGCAGAAAAGGCAAGAAACGAGAAACAGAAAAGTAATTTCTATATTCATGTTAAGATAGTACATACACTATATATAGACATAATAAGTAACAGAAAATATGTGTGACCAATATAAGTATTACACGTGGATTCTTGAGAGGTGGAATAAGAGGATGATGAGCCTAACATGTACCAGGTGACGTGGGGCATTGTGATTGATCTCCGGACCATCTAGTGTTCGCACAGAATAATTTCTCACGAGTTGGAGCCCTCCTAAGAGAAAATAGGTTCCCACATGATCAGAATGAATTTAAATTTCAATGGATTTATTTTGAGAATAGTGTTGTATCTAATATATATATATATATTATATCTTGTATTGTTTCATGAAAAATCAATGATTTTAACCGCCTCATCATATCTTTCAAAAACGTTCACCTTTAACTTAATGAGATTCTTCCAGCATCGGATAGTTCAATGGTGTTCGAGCGCTCTCCATCAATCCTTATGATGTTCATATGATCCTTATTACCAGAATGACTATTATAATATCATCTATGCACGAATCCACAACTGTTGGATGTACTCGTTTGGCTATGATTTGTTTCTACTGCTCGTAAGAAGGTTACGCTACGCACCTTGTTCAATCTCTGTTTGGGAAAAAAAACTATCCATAACTTTAGCAATACCTTACTAGGGCTCGACTATGGGTGGGCAAACTGAGCTCGAGTAATTCGAGTCATTGCCTAATTCAATACTTAGGCTCGTGAGTTTATCATCTCAAACATCGAACTCGATCCGACGCTCAGAAGGCGAGCTCGAGCATGGCTTCATAAGCCCATTGAAAACGAGCTCGTCGAGTGGCTTGTTTAGAGCTCCGTCCGCGCCCGCTGTTCATCGTCCCTCACACGCCCGCTCCGAGCCTCCATCCAGTGGTTCCACGTTCAAACGTCCTACACGCACGCCGACGTGCAGACTCTAATGTATCAGGCGACCCGTCTGAAATTTGGCCCGTCGTCCGAACTTTGTCCAAGCTTTGTGCCAGCAGTCCCGCTCTGAAGTCTTCGTGTGTCCAGTAACTCCATTATGTGATCTCGCAAACGAGGTCCGAGCACCCTAGATTTTCTTTTTCGCCGCGCCTGTCGATCCTGCCTTCCATTCTTGGTCGGACATTTTCACGTTCCCTCCCTCCCCCCCGCCCCTCCCCCCCCCCCATTTACGTCAGGCATCCAAGCAAGCTCACGAATAATCAAGCCAAATTTTTGTTGGATCAAACTCGAGCTCGATTATACAACGATCTCAAAATTTTACTCGAGCTTGACTTGTGAGCTTGATAAACTTGACTCACAAGCTCATTAACAAATCAAGCCCGAACTAGCTCTAGAGCGGCTTGACTCTGTTGCACCCCTAAAGGCTAACAACATCGATCAAAAGCATTTTGAATCTTCCATTATCAGAGTTTTCAAATTTCACGTTAGAGTTATACAGAGGCATCATTCCCACCCTATTTTGCATGATTTATTTGATTACACTACATTAAACATAACTTGCTTTAATATTCTAATAGTTATTCAAAATTTTGAACAATTCAAATTGCTAATATCAGTAAAAATTTTAAATGGAGGAAACCAATCATAATATTGTAATATATATTCAAACTAAAATATAAATAAATAATTTAAAAAACATTAATTAATTTTATTTCTTTCCTATTAATGTCTTGTTGCCACATATAATTAAAATAATATAAATAATTCATGTTCTATTAATCTGGAGTAATAAATGCAGGTATAATTAGTGGAATATCAAAATTATTATATTACAGATATTACGATTTAAAAAAACATTAATTAATTTTATTTCTTTCCTATTAATGTTTTGCAGCCACATATAATTAAAATAATATAAATAATTCATGTTCTATTAATCTGGAGTCGATATTTATAATGCGTGGCAATAAATGCAGATATAATTAGTGGAATATCAAATTTATTATAATACAGAAATTACGATTTACGAGACGAAATTGTAGCTCTATTTATTTAAACAGAGAAAGAAAAAAAAAGTTAACCAGAAGGCGTAACGACACAGAGAATGAGTATGCCGCCGGTATTCCTCCTGCTCTGCTTCTTCTCTGTTCTCAATCTCTCGGCGGCGCAGACTCCGATCCCGGCCAAATACGACGGATTCGTCTACGGCGGCGGATCGCTGTGGAAAGGCTTAGTCATTATAGAGGCTTTTCTCGACCCGATGTGCCCAGATAGCAGAGATTCTTGGCCTTCCCTGAAGCAAGCCCTAGAATTCTATTACCCTCGTGTTTCTCTCGCCGTGCATCCTTTTGCTCTCCCGTGAGCTCTCTCTTTCTCTCCCTGGCGCCTTTTTTTCTGTCTTGTTATGATCTTTCGTTGCTTCTTGATTAGATTGATGCATGCTGTGTCAGTGAAGTTTTTTGTGTTTGTTTTACTGATTGCTTTTATATTGATTAAATTTGATTTGGGCAAAACGAAAACCAAAAACAAAGTAGAACCATAGAAAATACTGAACATAAATCTAATTAAATCTCTTTTTTATGAATAACTGAATAAAGCTTATTTAAATCCCCGTTGTGCTCTTCATGTTTTCAGATTCTTTTTGTATTCTCTATATTTTGTATCGATCCGCTGAATGATTTTTTATTTGTTTTCCCACTGAACAGTACACTTAGAATTGTCAAAGCAATTTTGTCGCATTTTTTGTGATTTTTTTTTCAGAAAAATTTTGTAATATATATATTTTTTGTGATTTTCTGATTATTTATTATTATTTGAAAAATCTATGAAAAATGTTTATTTGAGTGGAAAAGTTGGAAAACGGTGATTGAGGTGGAAATCTGTGAATAAAGATTTTACTCGAATTAATTAATATTTTAAATTATTTATATTTAAAACGCTCTAAATATATGAATTTATTGATCAAACACAAATATTTTCCTGCAATTAATTAATTATCATAAAATTGTCAAACTAAAATGATCATTAAATTCATTTTTATTGTTAAAATTACGCTCCCCTGGCTCTATTTGAGTTGAATCTTCAAAGATCAAGCTTAGCTCAGCAAATATGATTGGTGGGCCAAACTAAGCTTTGTAGGATAGATATAAAAAATGCTCATTGATTGCTTGATAAGAAGCCTATGTTCTATTTATTCATTAAGTTAGTTGATATTTAATAATTATTTTGAAAAATTATGTATTTAGAAAATTTCAGGATATTGTATTTAATCCCATATTATTTATTTTAGAAAATGTTAAAGTTAGTATATTAGTAGGTTGCTCATATCTATAATTTTTTTTTTTGTAAACATGTCTGACCTGATATGTTCAGCATAACTTAACTTTTTTATGTCATTCATATTTTGGAATGACTACATTTTAAATATATTTAGAAGAATATAGCTGTTTATTCAAATCTTTATCATCAATTCATAAATTTTAAATGACTAAGGTTTCATTTGGGATGACTTTTTTACTACTTATTCGTTTGGGACAGCTTTCTTACTGTTTCTTAAAGCCTCTTTCTAGTACAAAAATTAAAATTTTTCTGCTTGAAAGCTGCTTTAAGAAAAGTAGTAAGAAAGTCGTCCCAAATGAAACCTAAATTTTAAACGTAGAAAATACAATATTTTGTTATTTTTAAGTTATCAATTATGTTTATATCCAAAAAATAAAATAAAAAAAAAATTATGTTTATATGCTACATTTAAATTTATTATAAATAGTGAAACATGTATGAAAATAAATTATTTTGAGTGAAATATTTTAAGTTTTATAAAAAAATTAGGTCAAACTGAGGCTGGAAATTTTTTTCTTTATTTTGAAATTAGTATAATATCAATTAATCGTGAATTACTCTTTTAATTCAAATGCTTTAAGATTTAGGCTTCATTGGGACGGCTTCTTAAAGCAGCAATTCTAGAACTAGAAAGCTGCATTAATAAGCAGTAAGAAAGTCATCCCAATTGAAGTCTTATTTTGACTAATTTTATTCCCTTATAAAAGTATAAAGAAAAGGATAATTGGCCAATGTGAAATTTTAAATTTTTAATTTAATACTAAATATTTAATAACTAATGTATTTCTATGAAGTTTATGATATTAATCAATTTATATAACGTTGTAATTTTATTTATTTGCAAGTTTAATTTTGTGTGTAAGTCGAGTATAAATAGCTAATCTACGAACCAAATTTAAATTCTAAGATCAATTCAAGTTTTATTAGAATCAAAATTGGTCTACTTTATTGAATCTATGTTAATTGTTTCAAATATCTAATTTAAATAAATATTATGTAAAATAAATATGATAACTATTACATTTTAAATCTTATAATTAATTTATAATTATTAATTTTTTATTAAATAATAAGCACGTTCAAGTAATACTAATATTATATAATGCTATATTTTTATATTGTAATATTATATATTCATATTACTTTTTAGGCATTAATATAAATATTATATTTGGGGTTGTTATTATAATAAGATAATATTAGATAATTGTAGCATATGTATTTAATATAGTGTATAACTTGAGTTGATTTTAGAATTAAAATTTTCAATTCTACGGTCCTTCCGATCTCAATCGCCTGCTATCAATGGTCCTCCTACCTCATTTGCTCGATTATGGTCCTCAGGCCACTGTCACTCTACTTCTGTCCATGGAGCATTGTCCTCCAACTATGGCTCTTCAAGCCTACGTCACCCATTGATTACAGTCCTCGAGCCACCATCGTCTGACTAAAGTTCTTTTGACTTTCGTCGTCTGATTATGATCCCTTAAACCTCCACCGCCCGTCGCCAGTCGCCTGAGGTCCTTTGATCATCGTCACGTGACTATGGTCCCTTCAACTTCAGTTGCGCGACTTCGATCCCCTTTAGTCGCATGACTATGATCCCTTCAAATTCAGTCGCACGATTATGATCCCCCGTCGCATAATAATGATCCTTCCAATCATAGTTGCTCGACTACAGCCCATACGACCACCGTTGCCTACCGACTATATTGCACCGATACACCTATTTATGAAGGCGTGTTGTATATGATACAATGATACACGGATACGCCTCTGATATGGCACCGATACATGTCGGATACGGCTTTGCCATATCCAATTAAAATACTATTTAATTTCAAAAGGACACACGTATCCGATACGCATGTCCTTTGAAAAATCAAAAGAAATCTGGAATAAAGACGCGTCGTATTTACTTCCGCGGCTACGAGCAAGGTTCTCTCATTTCCGAGATGGATTTGAGTCTCTTGATGATATGTGAATGTTAGAAATTGCTAATCTTTCACTTGATGAGCCTAAATTAGAAGCTATGATATTTATTCAATATGATATAGAAGTTCAAAGACAAACCACTGAAGAAGCTAATCATATTATTCCTTCTATTGAATAGTTGAAACTTCATGGGCTAGACAATTTATGTTTATGCTTTTGTTGTTGCACTAGACATTTGCTTACTTATATTTTGATATTTGATATTATGAGCTAAAATGCTATAAATGTTGTTGTTTTCATTTTTTTTGTAATTACTAATGTTATGTTTTGATTGCTTTCTTAATTTTTTTGTATAATTTATAAATTATAATGTCGTATATGCTTCGTACCCGTATCCTGTAATTTTAAGAATTGACGTGTCCCATATTCGTGTCGCCGTATCCGTATCGGTGCAACATAGCCTACCGATTGTGGTCCCTCCGACCACCGTCGTATGCCAACTACGGTCCCTCCAAGCTCTGTCATCCGAAAATGGTCCCTTCGACCTCAGTTGTCTGACTATGGTCCCTTCGACCTCCATAGCCTGACTATGGCCTCTCCGGCCATTATTGCACATTATCGGTCCCTCCGACGTCTGTCATGGTATAACGGTTCCTCTAACTAGCATCGCCTAACTATGGTACATCCTACCACCGTCGTCCGACTATAATCTCTCCAACCACCGTCGCCCAACTACTATCCTACCACCCAAATGAACAAGCTATCTTCCGCGAATGTTAAGTTGTAACATTATGTTATTTATTAAATTTGACATGCTAACTTCACCAAAAAAAATAGTATAAATAATTGAAATCACCGATTTGAACAGGTGATTATTATAATATTATTTATATTATATTTATTTTATATAGTATTATAAATTGAATTGATCTAAGAATTGAAATATTATATTATCTATCATAGCTAAACTAATTCTGATTTATATAAATTATAAATCCAAAATTAAGCTCGTGAAATAATAATGTAATATTATATAAATAAAAAACATTATACTATTTATATTTAATATAAATATTTATTAAAATTGGCATGTTAAATTAAAGAAAAAGAAGTGCGATTTGATTGCTCTTTAAACTTTCTTAACATTGGTTGCTTATTTTATAGTTTTCTTCACTCTGTAAATTTTTTCTTATCATAACAATATTTAATCATTTTGTTTTCTTCTAGCTTTGATCTTTTTTTCTTGTATTTCGATTTTGCAGGAACTTTATTAGATGTTCACGATACACACCTTTAAGTGTTTCTTAGTGTGTTAATCTGAAATCAATATCTTTTTTCGATGACCTCAGGTATCACAGCAATGCCTTTGCATCGTGCCGTGCACTTCATATTGCACACAATCTAAATGCTTCCTCAACTTATCCGTTGCTTGAGCTCTTCTTCAAACACCAGGTAAAGTTCTTAAATTTTTTGCAATTCTCAGTTCTTACGAAGATTTTGGTCACAGATCCTTGTGAAAGTAGAATCAATTATCTAATTTGTTCAACAAATTCAAATACATAAGAAGCCAGCCTACTAATCTTTCATTTCATAAAAGGTTGTAGCCAAAATCACCTACTCAAGTCAGATATTAATAATTTTTTTACCACCTAGCATTTTAATCCATTCGCTCCAACATCTATATCAACTTAGAATAGTATTACAGTACACTACAGGAAAATGATCAATTACCGGCAGCCATTTCCGGCAGTTAAGATAAGTTTTCCGGCGGTTTGAAAAGTTTCCAGCGTTTTCCGGCATTTTTAAAAATGCTGGTAATAGTCGACACCTAAAAAATAAATTGGAGGTATATCCGGGTGTCAGTTTACTGCCGGCATTTCTGACGGTTTATTATTAAAAACCGCCGGTTAAAACCGTCGATCTAACCGCCGGTAAACAACAAATTTCCTATAGTGGTTCTAAACTTTAGAATTCATTAGGTATTTTGTTCTTCCCGACTTTGAAGGAAAATTTATTTCACGAATTAGTTGTTTGATTGGCTGTTTAAAAGTAGAGAATAAAGTAAACCTATGCCAAATGAACACAACCAGCTCATCTTGATTTGTTTGTTTGGAGCTTTGTCTATCAACCAAGAGATATTAGTTTCATGTCGTATGTATCTGATGTGCGTATGAGTTTGACTTAATTGATCTAAATGTCCTAAAACAATACAACGAATATCATTTATTTTCATTACATCAAATTCGTGAAGGAAATGAACGGCGAATTAATTTTACTCGACCAATTTGCTTCAAAACAAGCAGAAAAGAATGATATTGTACAAATACTCAAGGAGATAGAAACACGATTTGTAAATTTTTCTTCAGCTAAATTTTGAAAAAGTTATAATTCATGTATTATGAGTGCCTTGATGATACAGGAGAGTTACTACAACGCACCAACTTATTATAGATCAAGAGCTTTTATAACCGATCAGTTCTCTAAGATTGCTGCGGAAGCTGTGGGTAAGGGATCATACTCTGCAATCAAGTCTGGCTTCAATGATTCACGAACTGATATGGCAACAAGAATATCCTTCAAGGTGAGCAAATAGAATTATATATGGAGAAAATATGAGGGAGATTATTCTAATCAAAATTTGAACAGAATAGTTTTAAGATGAATTTATTAATAAGAAATAATTACTTAATTAATTTTTATACTGTATTCATCTGGAATTAAGGCTTCATTTGAGGCGGTTTTCTTACTGTTTCTTAAAGCAATTTTTTAGCATAAAAGTTTTTTTTTTTTGTTGTACTAAAAAGCTGCTTTAAGAAACAGTAAAAAAGACGTCCCAACCGAAACATAAATCTAATCTTTTTAATGAATCTATTTGTTTTTTTTCTTCAGTATGGCTGTTCAAGGGGAGTGATGGGCACACCTTATTTCTTCGTTAATGGCATCCCATTACCAGACTATGGCTCTGCTCTTGACTTCAAGAAGTGGAAGAGTATTATCAATCCCCTCTTAACAGTGAAGAAATGATTGCTTTGGTGAGGGAAGTCCTCTTATTCTTGCCTGCAGCCTTGCTATTTTTTTTTTTTCCAAAATTTCAAAGTGAAATTTCTCATGTATTATGTGTCATGGTCATTAAGGGAATGAAGCATTCCTCATGCAGATTTTGAAACTTTTTTTTTGCTTTTATCATATAATCAAAAGTAGAATTGTATACCAAATATTTTTTAATTTGGTATACAATTCTACTTATGTAATTTAAATTCAAGGGCTTCAATGTCCGTCCTAATACAAATTACGTGAAAATATCTTTAAATGTTATTATTATTATAAGACTAAATTTGAGAAACCTATTAATTAGGAGTGTCAATATTTAATATGATATGAAAAACCGATTAGAATCCGACCTGAAAACTTTTTGTCAGCATCAACTCGTTTTCGCAAACGGGTCGGGTTTAGATTCCAATATTTGACCAAAACGATGATGAATGGCCTTCTTTCGTAATATTTGTGGCTTTTCAATCCTACCACACTCATTCGAATGATCAACTAGCTATCATGGGTTGTGACTTCCATGCCACTTTTGCTAAGTGTTGTGATGAAGATTTTTTGCATTTTGGGCTTGGTATTCAATAAGTAGCACTCCCTTTCCTTCCCTTCCCTCCCTCCCTATGTGGAAAAATTATTAGGTGCGGAGTGCGTACCGTCCGCACAAGTATTGGGTACCTAGCAGTACCCAACGGTACCGAGTGCGGGTACCACTAGATACCCAATGCTTGTGTGGACGGTTCTACCCGTCCGCACTCAGCACCTAATATTAGACCTGTCAATTTTTGACCCGAACCCGAAACTGACCCGGCATTATTCGGGTTCGGGTTGACCCGACCCGGTCTTATTTATACTAAAAATTTGATTTAAGAAGAAGAATAACATCCCAAATGAAGCCTTATACGATTTTCAGCAACCCTTATTGGTCAGACCTTTGCTCATCTTATCTTTACAATGCTTTTATCACCTATCTATAGTATAGGGTACTCTATTCTTATTATAATACTTAGCAACTTTGAGCTCTTTAGGAATTAATTCACTTTTAAAATGTATTGGATGAGTTTCTGTGCTATTAAAGTCTCTATGGCTTTTGCATGTGTGGGATATGCCAATGGAGATCCTTTCAAGCTTTATTAAAAACCAAAGGCTTTCAAATCCTCTTTTAAAGGCATTGAGTTCAATTACAACTCATCATATTGATTCAATTAAGGGGGATTAGAAGGGCATTATTTATTTAATGGAAAACGCTCCTTTCAATATCAAGTTGATTACAAAAGCTTAATTCTTATATGAAAGTTTTGTGCATGCTTCCAACATTAAGATTTTGACTTCGTTTGGGACAACTTTCGTATTGCTTTATAAAGCAGATTTTTAGTTAAAAAAAAGTGTACTTGAAAGCTGCTTTAGAAAGCAATAAAAAGTTGCTCCAAACAAAATTTTTATGGGTCAAAAAAACAACCAAAGCAAAGGGGATGATGGTTTAAAAAAATTTCTATGTTTTGATGAAGATCCAAATATTTCTTAATTTATTAAATGAAGATGATAATCACTTTCCTAGCCTACTTTTTATGTTGAATGATTCAATGATGATCATAATTCTTCTAGTTATATTATGTCAATTAATCTAAGAAAATAAAATAAGCAATAAAAAAGAATAGCTAACTTCAATTTTCATAGATACAAGTATTCATAATTATTATTTTTAAAAGTAATTGAGCTTCTTATCAGATGATTGTTATAAGAGATTAGAGGTCTACACAATTTAGAAAGTAACAAACGCTTTAGGAAAATTTCACACTACAAACTATTCAATAAGCTCACTTCATTTAATAAATGCAAAAAATCTTCTTGTTATAGAGATTAGAGGTCTACACAACATTAAGTCTCCTTGTCTCATAACAAGGTGTTTCTAGAGTCACTCTCTACATCATCCCAAAGATCAATAAGCTCACTTCCAATGAGCAAAAGCTCAGATGCCAAGAATTAAACTATGATTAGAAGAGGATGTCACTGATTAATCACGTATAATAGGTCTAGGGCTGTAAATGAATCGATTCAAGTCGAGTATGTGCTTGTTCATGTTTGTGTTTGTTTATTATCAACTTGTTCATGTTCGCTCAAGCTTGATTCGACCTTTCTTGTTTGTGTTCAAACTTGGTTTGTTTAAGTTAATGAATGGTCATGTTTGAATTGTGTTTGATTGATGTTCAGTTCATTTCATGCTTATCGAGCTTTAAACAAACAAGCATTATCAAGCTTTATGGAGCCTACTAACAAACAAGTTCACAAACATTAATTTCTAGCGATTATTTCGAACTAACAAACAAGTCTGTTTACAAACATATATAATGAGTATTTTTGAGCTATTGTTCGCAAATATATATAACAATTATTTTCAAACTATCAAACAAGTATGTTCACGAACATATCTAGCGTGTGTTTAGAACTACCAAGAAAGATCGTTCACAAACAAATGAATTATAATTATTCTTATAAGAAAGCTTGTTTATGAACATTTTGAACAAATAAAATTGATGATAATAAACAATCTTCCTTTAAAATTCATAACCCCCAAAAAGTAATTCCATAAATATAATTAAGCAGAATCAAACACAACAAATTTTTTATCAACTCATTTATTACTAGTAAAAGAAAATGATAATAAATTCATAAGCAATGTCATATATGTAACGCCCAAATATCAAAATTTTAAAGAATATCTTGTTTTAATCTCTTCATTTACCAACCAGAGCTTATATCTATCGTTATAAATAAATCCAGGAAAAATAATTAAAAATTATATATCAAAAATATAAAAATACATTTATTCCTCAAAATTCATATATAATAGCCAATAGTTCAATTTATTCATTCATCAGTCTATATTTTAGCTCTAGATTATAAAAGAATAAAATTAAAAGAAATGCAGTAATAAAATAAAACATGAATCTCAAATATGTCCTTACCCATTGGATCCTGACCCTTTCCTAAAAAATATGTAAAACTACAGAGTGAGCTGAGAGCTAAGTAGGTTACCAAAAACTATAATTGAAATCAATGCAATGTAATATAAACAATATGCATGTAATTATTTAATTACTATTAGTATGAACATATATCTGTAAAAAACATGTAACAATATATGGAATAATAACATATCATATGATCAATAAATATTAGTACAACTAGAGCAGTGATCAGTAATCGGGTGAACATATATAAGAGGTCAATAAACTCTATCACTTTTATACCAATTTGTTAAGAATATTTATATCTATCTCAGTTCAGGAAATTTGTATACCTATCATAGTTAAATGCATGTCGTACAATGTCTATGTTATGCATGTATATTATCTAAATCATATGATTCATATATATCAAATGTCTTTGTATCAATTTTATCAAATACTTGTATCAATCATAGCATATATCTTATATAAATTATATCATCTAAATTATATGATTTATCATTTATTTCCAATCATATGCATATGCAAGTAATATAAGAAAGAAAAGACATGGCTATATGTAGTATTTTTCTCTGTATCTAGTTATGTAGGCCAATTCTACATGAATCAGTCTCAATTACAAGTCATTTAGGTCATGTGACTTTCGTATCAGATGTCATCATTTCCTACCCATCGACGTATAATATCATATCAACATGTCTCCTTATGCCTCTATTTTTATATTTTTATTTTAAAGGAAAGTCTGTCGGCCCACTCTTATGTACAAGTTAACATGTATTCAGCCAACCTGAATCAGTTAATCAAATCTAGCCAGCCTTTCTTACATACACATATTTCCTAGCATATGTAACAAAATAAATATATAATAACACACTCAAGGTTTAATTTATTGTGTCATCTTAATACATGTAAATTTTACATATAAACCAAAATTTTAAAAAATATATAAGAAAATGCAATTTGTTCTTTTTCATATGTATGTATCCATAATGACAAAATTATAATAATTATGCATCTCATATAAGCATATAAAATGATTTTAATAATTAATTCGTAAATTTTTAAATTTATTCAAATTACTTAAATTAGAATATTTCCCCCAAATTATAAAAATACAAAGTAAATATTTAATATATTTCTATCAAAATGCTCATATTGATGATATATATCACATACTAAAGTTATGCCGTGGAATTTTTGTCAATACAAAGGTAATTGTATTTTCGATAACAAAAATACAAATTTAATAAAAAAAACTTCACATTATTGAAATAAAAAATAAGAAAATGGTTCATTGCAATAAGACGAGCAAATCTCTGAATAAGATCAACAAACGAAAATCGCTCTACGGCCTCCAAATCTAACTTTCTCTTCTCTCCCTCAAATTTCTCTCTAATTTTCTCTCACGTCTCTATTAGCTGATTTGAATCGGGTAAGGGATTTTAATAAAGTTAGATGAAGTGGCTGAAGATATTTATAAATAAAATAAAAAATAATACGGCGGTCGGACTGGGGTCGGCGGCGGTCGGAATGGGGTCGGCGGTCGGAGTTCCTTCGTCGGGGGCTGATCGGACGAGCGGAGGAGACGATAGAGCGAGCGACCGAGAGAGAGAAGGAAAGAGTGAAAATGAAATGAGCGGAGCGAGGGGGCTCGTATTAGGGCTTTTACCGGCGGTCTAGACCGCCGGAACAAATCACTTATCACCGCCGGTTTGGACCGCCGGTTAATGTTGATATCCGGCGGTTTACCGGCGGTTTATAGACCGTCGGTAATGCCGGCGGTGTATCGTAGCTAAGCCGCCGATTTGGCCGTCGTTAGAGTCCGACGGCGAAACCGCCGGCGGAGCCGTCGGTAATACCGACGGTCTATAAACCACCGGTGCAAACCGCCGGTATTTGCCATTTTTCCTGTAGTGATCAAGCTTGTTTATTAAAGCACCGAGTATTTAAAAAATATTCAAGCTTGTTTGAATACTTAATTTAATGATATAAATGAGTTTTTATCGAGCTGAACCTCGAGTAGCTTCTTGAACTCTCAGTTCATTTACAACCCTAAAGTCTCAGTTCATTTACAACCCTAAGTAGGCCTCATGTAGGAATAGTTCATAGTCCTCTTTAGCACTCCACCCTCCTAATTCATTCATAGCTTCTACAGTAAAAGGACTTACTTTAGAGCCAATTATCTTATTCCCTTGACATTTTTCGACATTTGTTTGTCTGGCTAAATGCTCTTAAGTTAGAAGTATTTGTAGAATACGTGAGTGGCATGTCATTATAGTCAAAATCTTCATAAAATTTGTACCTATCATATACAAAAAGTTACACAGTAAAAATCAGAAGAAAAATATAATTTTATAAATTTAAGAGAGAATAAATTGTCAAATCTAAAATAATTGAAAATTAAATTGAGATTAATGCTACTTGCAACTATCATAAGACTTTTTATAATTGAAGCGACAAACAAAAAATGACCAAAACCCACTTTCTCTCTCCTCCCTTCTCTCTTTCCCTCTCTTCTTCCACGATAAGCCACCCAAATGGTGGAGGACGTAACGGCGCTAGAGCTTTAATGCTTATACACACACACACACACTTTTAGTACCATGGCATCTCAGCATCACATGCTGAATTCAGAATTATTGTAGAATAGAGACTTAAACGTTGCGGCTGCGATTTCTATCACCGATGTGCTCTTAAGCCTAATGTCGTAGTTCTCCAAAGCGCAATGATGCTTAATAGTTCTAACATAACTTAAAAAATTTTATTTTAAAACACATTTTCATATTTTGTTTTGTTACAGTTCATCCTTCATTGGCTAATTCAAGAGCTCTATCCAATCATAGGATTATGGTCATTCACTATGTGGGGATGGATTTCTTTGGCAAGCTCTGTATTAGGAGTGGTCAAAGGACATTCTTATTACTACTATCGAACAGCATTACCAAATGTGCTAAAGTGAAGTCATTGGCCAAGGTGAACATAATTAGTTAATTACTGATATGTCATAAAAAAAATATCTTGATCAGACACGAATCTTGAGGCAAAAATCAAGTTGAAAACAAAAAAATTAAATCCGTGATCACTTGAACTCTGATTTCAGCAAACTTATAGTCAAATTGAGCGTCGCGGAAATACGAACCCAACGACACCAAATTCAACTCAATCCGAACCCAAATGAGTCCAAATCAAGGACCCGAAGCGCTGTTGGAAGGTTCAAACCACAATTTGAGTTACCAAACAGTTTCTAATCATGACATGCTTATAATCAAATCGAGCGGCTCGACGAGATGAATCCAACGAGCCTAAGATCACCAAATTATGATATCATTAAGACCTTCAAATGTCTTATGAACGGTCCATTATCAAGGGATTCAATATCGGCCGTCCATCCAACCACTCCACATTTGCCCTAGATCATCTTCCTATTAACGGGTCATGCCATCCTCAAAAAAATTATAAATAGCCCCTCATTTCTCTTGAGAGGGGCCCGAAGCAAGAAGAGAAGAAGAGAAGGAATAAGAGAATATTAGGAGGGAACAAACTCCTCGACTACCGCCGCCCGAATTCCAACTAACGTCGGAATTTCGCCGGACTTTCAAATGACGCCGAAATTCTGCCCGACTTTCCAGTGACGCTGGAACTCTGCCCGACGCCCAAATGATGTCGGAATTCTACCCAAGTGAGGCCAGAATTCTGCCCGACGGACCTTCGCTCGTCGCTAGATTTCTACCTGACACCAGACTTATGTCCGTTGTTGGATTTTCGTCGGACATCTGTCCGATGCTTGATTTATATCAATTGCTGGACTTCTATCTAACGTCATCCTTCTAACCTATGTTGTTAGACAATGATCATTTCTACTTACGTCGCCCACCGACGGAGGTCGGCAGACTACAGTCCTGCCGACCTCCGTCGCCCGCCGACTACATTTCTTTTGACTTTCATCGACCACCGACTATGATCCTTCTAACTTATGTCGCCCACCGATTACGCTCCTTCTGACTTCCGTCGACCATCGACTACAGTCCTTCCGACCTCCGTTGCCCGCTAACTACGGTCCTTCCGTCTTACGTCGCCCACCTACTATAGTCCGTCCGACCAAATGAACACGTCAACAGTAGCTCTTTGTATTCTCATCATGTAATGTACTCTATAAGATGCACATCAAGTTAAGGTCTTCCCCCAAGGGAGGGCCTCATTTGTAATCAACTGCAATACTAGTGTATTCATTCAAATTGGGCTAGGCCCCATAGTTTTTCCCCATTTTCAGAGATTTTTCACGTAAAAATCTTGGTGTCTCATAAATGCTACACCCTCTCTCTTATCTAATTGCGTGCTGAATTTTCATACAAAGTTAAGACATTAAATTATATATTTCTCTATCGCTGTGAATACTCATGGACGCAACAATTACATTAACCAAGTCCTAATAATTTGAGGTGTTCACAAGATTTGACCTACCATTCATGATCATCACCTTTACTATCTTCTAGTTTAATAGAATGAAGTTGATTAAATTTTGTTAAGATCATAAGCAACCTAAAGTTCTCTTCCATTAATTACCCATTTACCCTCATACAAATAGATAGGATAAAGTAACTAATAAAATCATCATTAATATCCTTAAACAAACTTTCTCTCAAGAAGGTAGTCAAGATTACCAATTTCTTGGCGAGTGATGGCTAAGTAGGCTGGTATGCATGAGCATATTGCTGACAAGATTAGTAGGTTCTAGTTTGATCAACTCGTGGACAATTTGTGGAAGCTTAGGGAGTTGGGCAATATTTTTTTTTTCTTTCCATAACTTGACTCTGGATTGAGTTTACATATTCTTTTAGTATTGAGTATTTAAAATGGGAGAGATTATTATGTGCGGTCATCGGATCTTCGGGAGGTCAATCAGGATCGGGCCACATCACTCAATATACAACAATACATAATATTGGTGATGTGACACATTATGATTGGTCTCCCGACAGCGTCCGATTATCACACGCAATAATTTCGCTTAAGATGGACAGGTTCCTTTGAGGATTTTGATCTTGACAATCGATTCTCTTCGAAAAATCTGATGACTATGATAAATGTGAACGTATCATGCAAAGTCATCACAAAATACTAGAGATGAAAATGAAAATTAGTGACGACAAACTAACTATAAGTTGTATAAGTGAAATATTTCAAAATTTAAATTATTTTAAAGGGTATGCATGCTCTTTAAATTTGTTTAATTTTATTAAATCAGACACAAATGAGGTATCTTAGCACAAAGCACCAAATTTATCGTTTTCATATAGGGCATCATAAATTGGTTATCTTTTTTAGACTTTCGAGTAGTTCAGCTATAAGATAGGATTTAATAAAAGTTGAGAGATTAATATTAAGATTATTTGACATGATAATTAATAAATTATGTAAATTCTAATAAATAATTTGATCATTTATTTCAAATTTAAATATTATGAGAGATGAATTTAAATTGGTTAAATTTAGCCGGATTTAACTTTAATATATTCCATTTAAATAATAAAAAGATGGGCACAAATTTATTAAAAAAAATATTTAAAATCTCCCTCCTCCATATTAAAAAAAGAAAAAAAAAAAAAAAAAAAAAAAAAACAAAGAGCCCCTCCATCTTCGGCAGCTGTTGGATAGCTCCATCAACGGCGTCGTACTCCGATACGGTGGCGCGGCACTGCAATTTCCCGAGATCCGATCCAAAGGACCAGCAGACTAGGGTCGAGATTCCCAAACTCAGGGAATCGGTTTGCCAATACTCTCCCACGTCCTGATTCTTGCTTGATAGCGCAGATCAACTGCGGACGCCAAGTGAGAAAGATGGCGCTTTGGCGTAGATTCGTCAGCGCCAGATTTGATAGCTTCATTTATGGTCGCAAGAGATGGTACTCCGTCCTTCCTGGCAGCGGAGCTCCATCGGCCGGCGGCGTTGTTAGGTTTCGTGGATTTATGGTTATGGAAGAACCCTTCCCTGGTGGCAGTCCAATGTTTTGTTACACACACTTAAGATATTTCATGGCTTCGGGACAGGTGCTTACTAATGCATTTGGTTCTTCAAAACCCTGTATTGGCGTAGACGTATTTTGTGAATTGTGGAAAAATGTTTACCCGTCCAGGCCAAGCCAAAACCGAAAGCAGAAGGAAAGGGAGGGGATTGGCGAAAACCTAAAGTGGAAAATGATGGCGGGATTCGGATCAACGAAGCAATCAATGATCGTGAAGTGCGTCTTGTGACTGATCAAGGTATCCCTTGACTTCCTTTTCTTTTTCTATCCTCGGTTGAAGCTTGTTTGGGAATTGTGATGCATGCATTTCATGTTTTAAATTTGAGCTTTATTGTTTCGTGTTGAAATGCACTTCATAAATTTGGTAGTTTAAAACATTTTAATTGGATAGTTCTTGAACATGGAGGTGCATGGAAGGAGATAGGAACATGATATCTGCGATGCGTATATTTAGGTAGGTTTCGGTTTATTCAATTAAATCCAACAGTTTGATAAAATTAAGAGTTTTCGCCATCTTCAACTATTTCGTGCAGACCTAAATACCTCATTGTTATGATTTTCTTTCTTATTTTCGCTTAAAATTTTATATTTTTTTATGGAATTGCTTCTTTTGAATTGATTAGTTGCTCTCAGCCTTGAACCATTTTAGGATAGCATAGCTCATTCCTTTTCCACCCCCCACCCCCCCCCAAAAAGGTGAAAAATCGCTAGTGACTCTCCAGCAATTGTTTGTTTGTTAGTGTTCCCTTTGTTGCTGTGGATAAACCCATAAATTAGTTGATTGTTTTTATTTTTCATCCTTGCCAAGTCATTCTTGGGATTGTATTACTTTATGGTTTTTTGCATATGAGAATTTTTGTTTTTGAAAGTATTGTATTCTTGGATTAGCAATGACTTACAAGAAGTGGGTTGGTTATTGTGAAACTCAAAATCGAGCATTATTTTGAATGTTTAAGATCTTGAGGTTTGAATATGTGATAGATTTATTATTTCAATTAATCTTTTCATTTCTATTTTTGATATGCATCATCTCTAGAAATAAGTGAGGGTTGATGCATGAGGGAGTGATAGGAAATACTTGAGTTCGCAAGTAACCCTAAGGTAATACTTGAGTTCGCAAGCAAACCTAACCCAAATCGATGAACAAACAGCAGCCAAATGGCTGTCCACAGCAGGAAAAACACAGCAAACTGCTGTAGCAGAAATTTAGAGGAAAACTCCAAGTACAACTTGTATTCCACTAGACACTGAATAAAATAGCAAGATATAATTGATCCTCAATTCGAGAGGAGGATCGATCTCTCCCAAATCTCTGGCAACGCCAAGAGCCCAAAGAAAACCTAAATCTAAGAGATCTCAAATTTCAGCCAAATTCAAGATGATCAAACCCTAGGAAAATCAACTATTTAATGCATACAAATCAAAAGGAAATCCCTAAACAGTCCCTACATTCAAATTTCCATCTCAAAAACGCTTCCTAAAATGCTCTAATGAGACGGTCGGGCCGCTCGATCTCCGCAGGAGGCGAAGATCCCACGCTCTTTGCGAACTGCCGGTCCAGTGGACCGGTCTAACAGGGAGCTTGTATATACAGTCCATTGACATTTGTTGTTGTCAAGCCTTTTTTATTATTGCTGATGTTTTCTCTTTCAACCTCAATGATTCAATATTATGAAAGTGCAATTAATTTCAAAGTGTTGAAGTTATGAGTTTCACCTCATATTTTTTTTCCTTTTAGTCAACATAGCGTGCTTGCTATGATATGAGCATTTTGAAAGAGCGTACAACTTAATGAAATTTTTATTCGTTTGTAATAAGAGCTATTTTGTTTACACTTTGTATTGTTATTCTTTTGTCTAAAAACACAACGTCCTTGAAATAAAAAATGAATACCCATGTCTCCTTAACTGGAGATGGCATACCGTGCATAATAATTCTATATTAATAAGAAGTTGTGTGATGTTGGATTAAGCATGGTGAGTGATTGTTTGGAATCTCTTACCATTTGTCCAGGATTGAGGCTAGAACCTGGTTCAAATCGGTAAAATTACTAAAATAACTTAGTGCACATAATCAAGACCAGCTAATCTACAATCTTGTGGTCAAAGATGATGAATACAACTATTAGCAATATGAGTGGTATCAAGGGTCCCCTAGTTGGCGCAAGATCAGGTAGAAAGATAAGTGGAGGATCATATCTATTCTTTAGAAAGAGTTTGATGTATGACCTATCATAGAAGAACCAGCGAGTACCAGGTTAGTTGCATTGGAGAGAGATCTACCTTGACATGTAGAACTTATGTAAGTATGATGCCTTAGTTGACAAACCTTTTGGACAAGGTTGTCTTTCCAAGAAGAGCTGAGAACTAGGGTTGTTAGAACTTGCATTTTGAATTGCATGAGGTTATTGTAAAATGATTTTAGGTCCAAAATGTAGAAAGTAATGTTGTCGACTTATTCTTAATTTCTTATTGAGATTCTTTAGAACTATTCCATAAGAAAATATAAAATTCTATAAAGCAGTAGGATTATCTTGCATGTTATAGTAATCATTGATTACTATCATTAACTTCTGCTCTTATTTGACAAAGAATAAGATCGTTTATATACATTTATCTAAGAAGATCTGAAAGCAATGTAGGCCCATTAAGGTTCTAAAAAAAGTGTTTGAAATCATTTTGTTCTCATGGTCAAATGACAATGGAAGGTTGAATTGAGTCTGTGAAAAAACTTGGTAGAAACTAAAAAATCACAATTACAAATATTTGATTTTCATTTTGTGTTAGAATATCATTTTTCTAATACATAATCTGAGTCATCTATCTTTCCTTCACACGAGAAAAGAAAGTGAATGATTCATCGGAATCAGTTATAATTGGAATTAGTTCTATGGACAAAAGAATGCTTTAGTGTGTGTAGGCGACTAATATAATTCCTTTCATTTAATATAAGCAAGGGCATTTTGTCCATCTTAGAGATGGATTTGAGATTTGAGTTTGCCACCCTTCTTCTCATTTGCTACATTTAAGAAAAACACCCTCGCTCTTAAGCTTTTAAATCATGGGCGCCTAAAAATTATCTAACATGGGTCTGAATCAGTTATAATTGGAATTAGTTCTATGGACAAAATAATACTCTAGTGTACGTAAGCGACCTATATTATTCCTTTCATTTAATATAGACAAGGGGCATTTTGTCCATCTTGGAGAGGGAATTGAGATTTGAATTAGCCACCTTTATTCCCATTTGCTCCATTTAAGAAAAGCGCCTTCGCTCTTAAGCTTTTAAACCATGGGTACCTATAAGTTATATTTGACATGGGTCCAAATAAGTTATAATTGGAATTAGTTCTATGGACAAAGGAATACTCTAGCAGCATACATAAGCGACCTATATTATTCATTTAATTAATATATACAAGGGCATTTTATCCATCTTAGGGATGGAATTGAGATTTGAATTAGCCAATCTTCTTCCCATTTGCTCCATTTAAGAAAAGCGTCTTCGCCTATGTTACACCGATATGGATACGGCGACACGGATACGACACAATACGGATACGGGACACGCCAATTCTTAAAAATACAGGATACGGGTACAGCGTGGATACGGCACAGATACAACATTATAATATATAAATCATACATAAAAATTAAAAAAGTAATTAAAGTGTAATATTTGAAATGATAAAAAAAATTGAAAGCAACAGCATTTGTAGCATTGTATCTTATAATATCAAAATAAAAACGAGTATTAAATATTTAAATGTCTAGTATAACAACAAAAACAAAAACATAAATTGTCTTGCACATGAAGTTTCAACTATTCAATAGAAGGAATGATAGGATTAGCTTCTTCATTGATTTTTCTTTGAACTTCTATATCATCTTTAATAAATATCATAGCTTCCAATTCAGGCTCATCAAGTGAAAGATTAGCAATTTCTAATATTCTCATATCCTCAAGAGATTCAAATCCTTCTCTAACAACATCCCACATCCTGTTGTTTACTTCCATATAAGTTGGAGTTTTCATGGAGAGAAGTCGAAGGTTTGTATGCACATCCTTGCGTAGGTAAAGACATTCTTGTAATGTGGATTCCTTGCTAGGTTAAAAGGAAGTCCAGATAAGTAAAACATTCTAGCTATTTCTCCATCTAGTTGTTCTCTCATTTGCAAATTAAATGTTTTCTCTAAAGCACTATTTACAACATGTTTTCTTCTTTTTGGTTCATATCCCTCTATTCAGAAATGCCCTTTGTTTACAGTACTGTCATCACTTCTAATTGAAGAAGAGGATGAAGGATATGAAGCATGGGTGCTTGGAAGTGAAATCTATTTTGGAAGCTCTTTTTTACTCATTTGCTTAGCTTCACTGATTTTTCTTTGTAATTCAGCCATTTGTGATGAGGTTATCTTCGGGCATACTTTAATTCCATGACCACTAATCTTTATCAAATGAGCTTTCATTCAATAATATGATCATTTGTATGTGACATTACAATAATTGTATTTGAATGCAATATTGTCATCTCCTTCTGACGTTTTACCTATTTTTATCGCATAACCCCACAAAGGTTTGTTATCTTCAATGTTGGTTATTTGCTGGACTATCATCAGACCCAATTCCTATGCCATTAGAGCTCATTATCCTATGAAGGATCGACACAAATTAAACCACATGAATTTGAAACATGAAATTTTTTAAGTAAAAGTGTAGAGATGTTGCAGATATGCCGGGGGTCCAACGGGGCGCTTCCCCTTGGCAAGGTTCAACCTGTAATGCCATAAATTTTTATTGCAAGAGTAATTTTAAAGCGATACCGACCAGTACCGAGTTCCAGTACCGAGCGATATTGAGTTGCGGTATCGAGCCTGCGATGAAGAAAATGAACCTTCACTGCTCACGTCGCCTTCATTGTTCGCGTCGTCGAGCCGCTTTGTCAACGAAGGATGATCCTGCCGGCTTTAATGCTCGCGTCGTTGAGCCTCTTCATCGACGAAGGATGATTTTGTCCGCTTCTATGCTCGCGTTGTTGAGATTCTCCTTCGACTACAACGAAGAAGACGAACTCCTGTGCGAAAACGAAAAACCTAGCTCGTGAAGGGATACGAGCAGGTAGATGAAATGAATAGGGAAAAATGTGGCTTTGTTTTTTCTATTTTATTTTATTTTTTAATAGGACAAGCGTATCTGATACATGTCCTGTCAAATTTAAATAATATTTTAATTGGACAC